CCCCCCCCCCCCCCCCCCTCCCAAAAAACATAGATGTGGGGAGGGGGGTCACACCACACAGATTACAGCAGCAGCAAATTGGACTACTAGAGGATTCGTTTAGGGTGTCCGGGATGAACTCGCCCGGTTACCGACATGCCCCGTCACTCGCCAGGTCTTGTCCTGTCGTGGTGAAGGTTTTTATTGAAATCGTGATTTGAGCCCGTGAAGAAATACGCCAAGCGCGCGAGTTTGTTGGTTTCATGTGTGCATACAGTGAAGTCAAGGTGGAATCATTCGAACGCCTATGGGTGGGGTCGGGGGGCGTGTTGGGTTGGGGGCTGGTAAAGGGGGGGTGGCGGGAGCGATATTGATTGAGTGCGAGGGGCAAGACTCGCCATGCACAGACAGACGTGATTGCAAGATTCCAAACATTGTTTCTACAAAAGCGCACCAACAGGCACGCGCTTGTAAGTTAGCCTGCGGCAGGACATGACATATTTTGTTGTATATTCTTCAAACCGCAGATATGATTGATGCCGGATGACAGCAACATTTGCCCGTGATAAGCGATAAGAATTAAACGGCTTGCAGAGGGGGTATGAACCAGGACGACTTTGCTTGCCTTTTTATATTTTCCTTGTCTGGTTGTGGATGCGGAAGAGAGAGAGGGGAGATCTATGCACTTGTAGTTTCTCTTAGCTGCTGCAAGCCAGTTTTTGGCTGCCGCTAAGAGACGTTATCCGTTCTTAGTAGGAGGTGTGGTGCCTCGTCTGTCCGCTTCCTCGCAGAGTAAAAACACTAGAGAGCGGAGGAGGGGCACGATAGAACCAGCAACAAATCGGTGCCTCTGGCGTTGTTGTCTGTGGCTGGAACCACCGCGCGCAGCAGATGCAGCAAGTACACGACGGGCACGCCCATGTTGGTGTGTATGTGTGTCGGGAACAGGACGCTGTTTTTTCGAGGGCCGCATGCATGCCCATGGTGGTCTAGTTTTGCATGTTGGGCACGGCCCATGTCGGACAATTCTAGCTAGCTATGCTTCTTCGGTCGCCTGTTCTAGGGCGGTTCTTTAGCGAACTCATGGGCGGCTGGCTGCTTGACGCAGGAAATTCAACAGTGCAAAGAGCACATAGACGCACGCAGCAGCAGCACCAGCCGTGCTTTTTTCACACGACAACCCTTTTGTGATAATGTTTTGATATGCATACTGTTGTTAGTTTGGCTAGTTTTTGAGGTTGAATAGGGAAGAGAGGGGGGGCTCAAGGGAGGTNGGGGGGGGGGGGGGGGGGGGACGAGTGAAACCAGGTGACTGCGGCTAGAGGCTCACGCTCACGTGTTATGTATCGATGGATGCAGAGGCCTTAAGAGTTTCCGCGTTGTTGTTGGTTGCTGTTCTCCACAAGTTTTCACCGCCGCATGTCGCTTGCGCGTGTCAAATCGTTTGTAGCGAGGGGGCGGGAGGTGGGTGGGTGGGGGTAGAAGAAAGCCAACACGGGGCTTCCACCCCTCGATTGCGAAGAGATGAAGTAGGCGGCAACGTCGTTGTTCTTTTCTGTGCACCTGTGGACACATTGCGGAGAGTAGACAACTGCATGTAGCAGTTGCAACTGCTGTTCCGTATAGTATTGTCGTGGTAGTAAAGGATGTACGATTTCGGCTTACCGACCTAGTTGCGTGCTGACTGTTCACTACGTACAGTAACGCTTGCAGACGTGAAGCGATGCAGACCTGACCGTGTCTGTCCATCATCTACTACATCCATAGACGGGAAAACAAGTACGAACGACTTATCATGTAGTGGGCTCTATGCAATTTTGTCTTTTTAAGTAGATCTTCGAATCTTTTGTCTGTCGCAGTTACGACGGATCAACAATGGCGTGTGTGTGTTGTCTGCCGAAATGTTGTCTTGAAGGTATTCTGGGTAGGGGAGATGTTCGAAGTCTGCAGATCGATGATGATGGAAGAAGTGCAAGCAGTAAAAAAGGGCGTACAGATTAGGCCGCGGTCGCGATGCAACACCGGCCGATTATTTATGTGGGTTTCGTTTTCACCACCTAGTTCAGTCGTTTATTCTGGAGTATGTTGTTCCCGTGGTGCTGCTCCGCTTTTTCTCTTCAATCAATCTATTGCTAATCTATTGCTAATTTTTGCTTGAGTGTTCCGCTGTGTGTAAGTGTTCCGATTACCGATAGCACACACGCCAAGTGGGGAACCTCTCTCGTCATCAAGACGAGGCAGGCGTGGTGATGAGCTACGCTGCTAGCTGCGAAGCTGTCAACAACCGAACTAAACATTGTTTTTCCTGCTCTACTCTTGCAAGTCGGTTGGGGCTGATGAATGAATGGTTGTCTTCTATTCTCCGAACGATTTCCTTACAAGGCCGCAGGCAACAGCCACGAGGTAGATTCTCCCGCACGTCGTTCGTTCACACTCACCTACGAACAGCCTGTAGCCTGCAAGTTGACACCACTCAACAATCCGAAGCGTACGTTTCTTGATCGGTAAGCAAAGCAGTTGACGGCGATGTGTAGGTGCTTAAAATAGACTGCTTACCTACACGATAAAACACTGCTTACCTACACTGCAGCCTTCCACCCACACGATAAAACACTGCTTACCTACATTGGGTGGCTATATTACTTAAATATTACAGTCCAACGACACGGTCGGTACGTGCTGCGTGTAATTACTTGCTTGTTTTGCGCGTATGCACGAGCGGAGAAAATATTTTTGGGGGGGAGAAGTGACAAAAAGGGGTATACGCCGCGTATTTTGGCACAAAACGGGGTTGCTTTCCAGGGTGGGTTGGGGGCGCCTAAATAATTCTCGAACCCTCTATCAGCCGCATGCGCCAGGTCATTTTGTAAGAATAAGAAAGGACGTCAAACTTTTTTTCAGGGTTACCCTAGAGGCCTAAAGAGGGGAGCTTATTGGAGGACCCCATTTTCTTCACGCACCCGCAGGATTTTACCCCAGCCTACCTTCCTTTTCGTTCATTCGTGGTGACGCCCCTGCGGCGGATTGCCAAAATGGCAACTAATCAACCAACTAAAATTTCAAATTTCATCAAGTGGGGCATACATCTGTGGCGCCTTCCGCGCTACAGTGTGGAGCGGTCCAGTTGATGATGTTCCCCGAAGACTTAAAGCTCCAAAAAGTGTGTCAGGGTGCTTTGGTGGGGTGTAGGCCCAGTTCCGCGGGTTAAATTGACTACCCGACGTCGGGATGTTGAGGCTTCAGCGATATGTAGTGTTTTATACTGCAGAATGTATGAAAAAAAACGGGGAAGGGCCTTAAACGCCCCCCCCCTTTGGAAAAACGGCGATTAAACGTGTTTTTAAGGTCATTCAAGCGCGTTTTTTTAGGCTACTTGATGCGTACAACCGCGGAGATTGACCACAAATACCCTGTGACATATGCGGACATTTATTTCACCGACGTACTTGAAAATAATGTATGTTGTGCGTTATATATATGGAAAAGACAGCCCATTTCGGCGACACACCGTGAAAATATTAGCCACATACGCCGGCAAATATTGTTTTCTCCTGCTGGAGACCCTTCTTTGATATCCCAAACCGCAAGGGAGACGACCTGCTGCTGCATATGAACAGCAACATGCAACAAACAGCACACAGCAACAAAAAACGTACAAATACTGCAACAAAATTACCCCGAAAAACCAAAGAACATGGAAGAGAACAAGGCGCCAATCACGAGAACATGACGAGCACCACGGACACCCTTCAATTCCCTACACCACAAGACGCCCGAGTAACCTTATGCTTGCCCGACACAGCCTTCACCATACCCACCATCCTCGCGTACTTCTTTGCCGGGACGCAGTCGTCGTAACCTCCAACCTACACTTCGAGCAGTATGACGACGCCTGGCGAACGCATAGCTTGTATCGCTTCGTGACAGCCGGAAGCGTCAGAACAGTTGATTCGTCCGCCTGCCATCTCTGCGGGGTAGCTAAACCTCTTTCTCGCCACCTACGAGGGGAACCCCGTTCTCCTTCTGCACCTCTACGCCTACGCCCGAGCTCTCCTCCTCCTGGACCTCCGCTGCCATGAACTGGTACAGCTTGGAACTCCCAGAGATGCCCATCAAATCTACGAACGGGCGAGGGATCTCTCGGTGTCCAAGAAGCTTGACGTGGAACCTCTTGATCCGGTAGGGGGACCAGCTTGAAAAGTGACCTCCTCCATCCTCCTTTGCCTCGGCGTAGACTTGGAGGAAGTCGGCTGCGGCTTGGGTGTTGCGAATGCGCTGGCCCCTTTCCTCCGCTTCTCGCAACAGAGCCTTCAGCAACCCCCCGATGCCATCGTGGGTGCCTTTGAAGTGCGACGTGACCGCGAAGTTGTGGATGAGGACGACACCAAGCCTGTGCAAGCTCTTGGCCACAGCGTGAAAGTTGCGCTTCCCCTTGTACTGTTTGGCGCACCCGTCGGTGAAGATGTGCACCGTGGGGACCGGTGTTCCAGCAGTAGCGGCCCGCCCATCCCCCGTGATGTAGTACCGAAGGATGATGTCCATGGCGTAGATGTGGAAATCGAAGTCATGGTTGGGGTCACTCGATACGACTACCCATGTGTCTGTCTCATGCCGACCGTCGTCGTCAGGACTGTGGTGAACTAGAGCCACCATCATGGTCGTGGAGGGTGCAGTAGCGCTCGTCAAGACAGCGCCAGCCTCGTGCTTGTACTTCTCGATAAAGTCGGTCTCCACCAACAGCTCGCCTTTGCCGAACGTCGCCAGGCACATGTTGTGGGCTTGGCGCTGCCACTTTGCTAGCTCGTGGTGATGAATGTACTGAGGGACGAGAAACGACCGGGGGGAAAGGGGGGGCGGGGCAGGAAAACA